AACTGCGTAGGGCTCATATCCTGTCTGTGGTACATTACCGAATCTCGAAATATGCACATTTTTGTGTTTTAGAAACGGCGTAGGTAGCGCATACAGTCCGTGGTACATGACCGATTCTCGAAATATGACCATTCTTGTCATTTAGAATCTTGTAGTGAGCGCATCTACTGCGCGGTAAATCACCAATTTTCACATGGAGAGCAGAATACGGCCTTCATTAATAAATCTTGGGTAGAAATAACATTCAGTATGCTACAGATTTATTTTACATTTTGGCAATAAATGTACACTAGGTATAGCAATGACTATGGTATGGTGTGGAAGTCTACGTTGTCAAGATATGTGGTCGGCAAGTATGCTACAAGAATATAACAATGCTAAGTACAAAAGAACGTGGCGATTATCAAGAAGAAATCAACAGCTATGGTTGTGTCATGAAAAGAAAGTGTTCTGTGCTCCTGTGAAACATCAGAGGTAATTTGGTTCTGTAGAATGACGAAACTCATGTTACAGCATCTCATCTCCCAGCCAGTGGAGTTTGTAGTGGGTACTCATTCTTCCAGTGTGGTCCTCCCATTGCGTTTGCCCACAGGGCGAATGGTCACCAGTACTGCTGACCATGCAGTGGATTGCCCAGACCCTGATTCCTGAATTTGATCCCCGGATCGTCTGATGAAGGTCAGACCTGTGATCCAACTCCCTGATCTAAAATTAATCAGATCATGACAGGTGCATACGGCACTTACAGAAGTAGCCAGTCCGTCGGCATATACCCCAACTGCACTCTGACCTCCTGCTCTTGGGCCCTTACACATTCCACCAGATCCGACTTGAACGTAGCCAATTGCGCATTGCTTTGTGTCCGAGTGACGCTCCAGTTCATCCAAAGGTCGATCTTCATGGTGAGGATTTAGCGTCGAGGTCGGAGATTGTGATCGGCTGGCGGGGCAGACGGAAGAGGCGTGGATCGTGCCAGAGGGCGGGAATAGACGTTGAGCACGAGGGGCGGGAGAGCGAATGCGGAAGTAGAGAATCATGATCAAACGATATTAAGTGCCTGCGGCATGTTGACGTTGATGCCGCCGGCTATCAATCGATGATGAAATCGATCGATCAGATAAAAGATAATTAAGTGGCTGTGTCATAAGTGGCTGTGTGATATGATTGAACATTCGGCAGGGTGCATGGCACAACGGCCAAAAAGTAATTTGTGCAATCACAGCTATAATTGCATTAAATATATGGTGGCAAAATTCAGCTTCCACTGACGATCTATTGCAGCATACAATTACTTTTTTGAATACATTCCA